CGGCATAGAGGCAGTCGCTACTGCTGAAACTAATGAACGAGTCATGTTAATGGTACTTAGATAATTTGGCTTTATCAACTGAGTTAATAAAGTAAATTGGCTACCGTTAAGAGTTTCAACGCTTGAAACTTTGAAACTCTACGTTTGCCAATTTACTTAATCAACTCAGTCAATAAAACTAGAATTCTCTTGTTACTCCCACCGACGCAGCACCACAGTTTCTTTAGAAACTTACCCCTTTTATTTAATGGTACTTAGTTTGATAATCACTTCCTAACTTCTGGCTCTTATGAGATGTAGTAGATAAGGGACCTTAAATTGTTCTTTGGTGGTTAAATAGTTTTTAGGTTGGCAATACCACCGTGGTAATTAAAACGAGTCTAGAAGAAGTCTTCGAGGTTTTTCCGCAGAGCAATGCGGTTTAATCTTTTACCTGCTGTCGGGGTTGGGGTCGTCGGAGTCACACCAGCTGGTACAAGTGTCACTTGTTGAGAACCTCTATTATTACCAGCGTGCTGTCCAAGTGTATCGTTGGTTGGAGAATATGCCCACACAATGTAAATTGACATTCCTTGCTGTTGATAACGAAACATTTATAAAGAAAAAGCAAAAGTTATTGACCCATAGCGAAACAAACGAGAATTCTTAGAGTCAGGGTTACTAAAAAATGTTTTTCATCGTAAAGGTAAAGATAAAGGTAACTTTTACACGGGGTGCATTATATGACCATTGATTACCTGGATAACAACATCCTTTTCGTCGTTAGTGTTGAGCTTGCGATAAAACTTCAACTTTGTCGTACCATTATTTTCACTAAAGTAAGTCAACATCCAGTCTTGACTAGCATCCCTGTCAGGTAGTTGGAGACCGACTGTTTGATGATCCTAGAAAAAAGGCAGAAGTTTGATGGATCGTATCAAGAAATGGTCTACTGTTGCGGCTCAACTGTTCAAATTACGTATTAAAAACTAGTCCTTTTATTCTTTGTAGCAGTGAGGGACTTTGGCCGAAGCGACGCAAGAAAGTTCGTGACTAATTGGAAAAACTTTTGGGCATTACAATTTAGCTACATTGGGGGAGTGGGTAGCGGTATATTTCTACTCGACTGGTAAATTATCACCGGACTACCCCAGGGGAAAATTGACCATTGATTTAGCCGCTTTGGTGAAGGGATAGGGAAAATTCATCTCGTTAAGTCAATTTTCGATGGTCTACTCCTTTGTTTTTTTTATGTTATCATTGTTTTTGGAGAGAGAGCGATAAGTGACCAGACTGAGGCAACACAGCCAATCGAATGTAAGGGTATACCTTCTTCCCTTTCCATGAGAGTTTTCAATTTTAATTATGAAAATAAACGAGAGCCATTGTCTGACTACTCGTGTACTTCACTCAGTAGCTCTTCATTTTCTATTGTCCACAAACCTCCAAACTTCCCATTCCACCCTGAACTTTTCCAATGGCCACATCGTATCCCATCATGCCTGTCGGAGCTGTTGTTGCAACACCAAACGCAATCCATCCTGTAGCTCTCACTTCTACTG